TTCATTGTGCTTTTTATTTCAAGTAAGAATTTTCAGTTGTTTGTCTACCTGCTACATGTTTTACAAAAAAAAACAACAAAATTAGGTTGACAGTGGCTAAGCTTTAATTTTTGCTTGTTTGTACTATTGTTTCCTGTATAAGCTGCTCAAAGGTGTTTATTGGGGTTTTTGTTATTCTATCTTTTAAATACTTAATGAAAGATTCCGTAGCAAACCAGAGCCAAGATTAAGACATTGACTATAGTGTTACCTGCTTATTATAGCCCACAAGGGTTTGAATTTCCCAGAGGGCAATTAATTATTTGGCAAGTTACTGGCCCCACCTCTTAGGTAGAAAAAGGAAAGAAAACAGGCATTTTCTAATGGAAATATGTAATTATGTTAGGCAGGGGTGACCAATTAGGAAGAGTTTCTTGCAGCACTTGGAGCAAGCCTAGGGCCTTAAAAATTATGAGCATGACCTGTAAAGCTTCATCCCCAGCCCCTCAGTTAAATAGAAAGTTTGGATTGTCACTGCTGAAGCTACTCTCTTAAGTAGCTGTTAGGAATTTTAAAGGAGTCATGTTACTGGCTTGTGCATGCACACAAGCATGAACATGTTAATATTTGGGCTTGAACTCTAGGATGGTGCTCTCCCAGTTGAGCCACAGCTCTGCTTCTGCCTTCTTAGTAGCTAATTGGAGATAAAGTCTCAGATTTTCTGCTGGGCTGGCTCTGAACTTAGTCTCCTAAGTAGCTATGATTCTAAGCATGAGCTACCTGTGTCCACCTACATGCTTTTCTTAAATGTTAAAATCTGAACTTTTCCAATCTTTACTGCAACAGTACCAATCACAACTATGTGTGTTACCTTGCTTCAGTATTTTAAACCTGTAAAATGGTTCTTATTTGTTCAACTGCTTTCTAACTTTGGGTCTTGGTAAAACATTGAGTGAAATGAAGCCATAACAGCATATTTTCCCATTTGTATAGTTGTTCGCTTACAGGGGTGTACAGTTGGAATTGTACAGTTGTGTTCTTCCAGTTTCAATTATTTGAGGTTTGTAATATGTGGTAACAAGGTTTGGATGACAAGGGTGAGGAATAGAAGGAGAAAACGTGCTGGACTCTTGGCCTGTCTTCTTTCTTTTCCACTGATGAGATCAAGCCCCAGGACTGTGAACATAAGGCAAGTGATCTATCGCTGAGTTTTATCCCCATCTGCTTGTTTTTTTGTTTTTTGTTTTTTGCCAGTCCTGGGGCTTGAACTCAAGGCCTGGGCTCTGTCCTTGAGCTTCTTTTGTTGAAGGCTAGCACTCTTTATTACTTGAGCCACAGTGCCACTTCCAGCTTTTTCTGTTTACATGGTACTGAGGAATTGAATCCTGGGCTTCATGCATGCAAGGCAAGCACTCTACCACTAAGCTATATTACTAGCCCTGCTTGCATGTTAATTAGTAATTTATATTGTAATCTTCATGAAAGCCACAAAGTACATATTATTCTTGGTTTTATAAGAAATAAAACAACTGCTCATAATGAGCTGGGTTCAAAACTCATTACTAATCTAGAATAATCATGTCTGAACCTAAGACTGATATTAAAATGTCACCTTCAAGTTGGGGTCCAGAAGTTCATGGCCTATAATACAACTAGTCAGGAGGCTGAAATCTGAAGATCTTGGTTCGAAGCCAGTCAGGGCAGATAAATCTAAGATACTAGCAAAAAACTGGAAATGAAGGTGTGGCTTAAATGGTAGACTGTCTTTAGTGAACAGAACCTTAGAGCTCTAGGCCTTGAATTCAAGCCCCAGTACCAGTACACACAAAAATTACCTTCAGCCGGGCGCTGGTGGCTCACGCCTGTATTCCTAGCTACTCAGGAGGTTGAGATCTGAGGATCGCGGTTCAAAGCCAGCCCAGGCAAGAGAGACTGTGAGACTCCTATCTTCAATAAACCACCAGAAAACCGGAAGTGGCGCTGTAGCTCAAGTGGTAGAGCGCTCACCTTGAGCTGAAGAGCTGAGGGATAGCGCCCAAGCCCAGAGTTCAAGCCCCACGACCGAACCAAAAAAAAAAAAATTACCTTCAAATATTGACCATGTTGGGGCTAGAAGGATGGTTCAGTGGTAAAGTGCTTGCCTCGCATGCATGAGGCTCTCAGCACCACATAAGCAGAAAAAGCAGGAGTGCCGTGGTAGAAGTGGTAGAGTGCTATCCTTGAGCTGAAGAGCTGAGGGACAGCGCCCAGACCCAGAGTTTAAGCCCTGCAACCAACCAATAAAAATTGAGCATGTTATGAGTTTTACTACTGGAACTTTTTTTTCAGGTGCCAGTACTGGGGCTTGAACTCAGGGATTGGGAGCTGTCCCTTACTTTTTTTGCTCAAGGCTGGCACTCTACTACCACTTAAGTCCATAGCTCCACTTCTGGCTTTTTGGTAGTTAGAGATAAGATTACAGACTTCCCTGACAGGGCTAGCTTCAAACTGTGAGCCTAAGGTCTCTGCTTCCTCGGAGTAGGATTACAAGGGAGAGCCACTGTGCACACGCATGTGTGTGTGTGTGTGTGTGTGTGTGTGTAGTTGTCATAGGGCTTAAACTCAGGACCTGAGTGCTGATCTCTTTTCCTCAAGGCTAATGCTTTACTTTGAGCCACAGCTCCATGCCCAGTTTTCTGGTGGTGGTTAATTGGAGTTGAGTCTCACTGATGGTCTTGCCCAGGTTGGCTTTGAACCAGGATCTGAGGAGCTAGGATTACAGGAGTGAACCACCAGCATCCAGCTTCTGTGAATTTTTTTAAGAGTAAAAGATCTGAGCCATTAGTGGGCTAAAATAACATGTAGTCTTGTGTATCAAAGGAGAAATTCATCTTAAAAAGTATGTTACTCTTAAAACAAGTGATAATGTAGAAGACAGTATTTTCTTAGAACATTTTGTTTATCCTGCATGCTTAATCTGTTTTACGAGTAAAGTCCTTGAAGCCTGACCTGTGTTACTATTTTTGAGATAAGCTATTTTCTCATCTAGATGTCCCTTTCACTTTAACACCTTGTACTGGTTTCTGGACTTGTGTGTACCTTTCATCTTCATTTAGTGTCTAGGGACCCAGTCCCTAGTCTGCTGAGCCAGTTTTATAGGTCTGGCCAAAATGAGAAAGTGAAATGAGCCACAAGGATGGACTTGATTAGTCTACATTTATGAAAACTCATGTTTGTATTCTCTAAACCATGTAATTTTAGTTCATTTTAAACTTGGTGCTTAGTCCTTTTTTGTAAGTGAATTTAGGGCCCAAGTAGTTTGAGATAAATTTTCTAGTCTCTTGCTTTACCAAAGGTCATGTTCAGATACCTAAGAGTTTTTTTTTAGAAAAGTAGAAATCACCGACCAGGAGTCAATTTGCATGCTAATGAGATTTTAATATGCATATCATCCTTTGTTAGTGAAGATAAAAATCTCACACTTTTCATGCCTAGGGCTGACTTCAAACTCCAATCCTCAGCACATCTCAGCCTCTTGAGCTAGGATTACAGGTGTGTGCCACCTGCACCCAGTTCCATAATAGCATTTTTATTGTTGTATAGATTCTGCCCTCATTCTTGTTTCCCTCCTCCCTTGTCTGCCAGAACTTCAACTTTCAACACTGACTGCACTTGCTGTGATGTGCTGTGCTCCTTTCCTTGTCTATAGAGTAATAAAGTCATGCCTGCTCACATGGAATCAGTTATAAACTTAAAAGCTCTCACTTCCTTTCTCCCTTAGAATATCCTATGCTGCCCTAAATATGTCTCATTTCTAGTGTCTCAACACGCTAGCCCTTCCAAATAAATGTTATTCTTTTTTGACCCCTTAGAAAATTTCAAGGTCAGCTATTATGACCCAAAGGACCCTGTACCTATCTTAATTGCACTCGTTTACACAAAGCATTTCTCACCTAATTTTAAACACCTGAAACATGGGATTTTCATTTTTTTCTATCTGTAAGTAAAGGCAAAGAATGGATTATAGTAGTACCCTTCAAAAGATGATATGCATATTAAAATCTCAAAGAAAAGGGGGGGCTCCTGGTGCAGGGGCATCTGAACTGTGTCAGAGAATCTTGCAAGTCATCAATGTGCAGAAGAAAAAGCTGATAAAGGGCTGGGAAGGTGGCTCAGTGGTAGAGAGCTTCCTTTGCATGCATGAGGCCCTGGGTTTGATTCCTCAGCACCACATAAGCAGAAAAAGCAGAAGTGGTGTTGTGGCTCAAGTGGTAGAATGCTAGCCTTGAGCAAAGAGGCCAGGGACAGAGTGTAGGGCCTGAGTTCAAGGACAAGAATACACAAAACCATATAATAATACTGCTCTGTCATAACGGTGTGTGTGTGTGTGTGTGTGTGTGTGTGTGTGTGTGTGTGTGTTGGCAGGTAAGTTTGTGAGACTAAAATTTGTATTATCTTTAGGAGTTGCTATTTAACAAAGCAGTATATGACAGACATCTCCAATTAACCAGCAGAAAGCCCAAGTGGAAATGTGGCTCAAGAGTACCAGCCTTGAGCAAAAAAATCCAAGCAAGTGTGGAAGTCCCAAAGTTCAAATCCCAGTAAGGGCACACACATACACATGCGCACACACATGGAACTTATCTTAAGAGACTTAAAAAAGATTCTAGGATGAAAAGAGGCCAATGTGAAAACAGGTAATCTGTGACTTCACAGCTGGCCAAACCTGTCCAGTGCCCACTTCAGAAGTGAGACCACAATTCTTTTGGGAGGACAAATGGGGAGGAAGGCAGACTTCTGCCTTAAAGCCAAGCATGATTCGAAGCAGGCTCCCAGTCTCAGGCGTGGGGTTGGGAGGAAGCTTGGATACCCTCAAGTCCCCCTACAAACCGGCCTTGAACCAATAACCGTTGACTCCGAAGCTCAGCCCGGGGCCTCCCTGCCCCCACTTCTGGAGACAACGTACAGGACTCTGGGCCGCTTCCTAGCAACGAAAACGCCTGAACGGCCTGGGCCTGGGAAGGGAGAAGGCTACGGCCACAATGGACCAGCCAGCCATCTCCATCACCTCTACTACAGAACTGAGAGATAATCTGATGCACGATGACTCCCTACTCAGACTGCGGGTAAGGTCATCCTCAACTATGTCCCCTCGACCTTCGTCCCTGCGCCCGCCACAGACCTTTTCCCACCACTCAATTCCAATCTCTCCTAACCTCTCATCCTAGTTTCTTTCTCTACCCTGCTTTCTTCCTACTTCTCTCCTTTCTTCCTGTCTTTATTTTATTTGATCTCTATTTCCTTTTCCTTTGTTGCCTCCCTATCCTCCCCTTCCGTCCTCCGCGCCCCTCCCCCCCTGTATTTTTCCCATTACTAATTGCTCTGGACACTGCTTCAGTGGAACTATTGGGATTATTACCCTTTCCCTCCTGGGGAGAGGGAGATGAGGTTTTCTCATTCAAACACCTTTTGTCTTTCCTCTTTAGAATGTGTAAAAGATATGAAATTGTCTTTATCTAGTTCTTAAATAAATTGGGGTGAGAAATGTTTAACCTTCTTTTGTCTGAACTGCGGTGGACGGTTACCTTGCTTTGGATTTATTCCCTGTGCTTCTCCCTGCTCCTTCCCACCCGACTTATATGCTTTGGGAACAAGTAGATACCTGTCTTGACCAGCCTGAGAAAGTTTTCTTTGTGATTGTAACATATGCCCAGAAGATTCCACATAAATTAGTAAGGAATATATGGGAGAAATTTGGACTTAGCAGTGTTGTATGAAGCTATTTTTTATACAAATACACGTATTTCATAGTAAAACTAATACCCAGCGGTGCTCAGATGCATTTCAGTTATGAGAGGAAGAACGAATGATATCAACCCTTTTTATACAGGAGTTTGTTATGTTTAATATATGCTTGCTTGAGATAACTCCTTTCAAAGTACTAATAAGCATTATAAAATGAAGTGAAAGAACTTAGTATCTTGATTCTTTTACTTATTAGAAATAGTGTAAAAGGAACAGACTAACAGCTATGTTCTGTGGACAGGAACTAAAATGTGGAATAATACATTTGTTTTGTGTGCCTATATTAAAATAAGAGCTTTCCTGGAAGTTGATGAATACCAAAATAATTGCTGCTGCATTTAGCAGATGGGGTGTAAAAAATGAAAGCTACAATTTTTTTTCCTTTGGGTCGGTCATAGGGCTTGAACTCTGGGCCTGGTGCTGTCCCTGATCTCTTCAACTCAATGTGAGCGCTCTACCACTTGAGCCACAGTGCCACTTCCAGTTTTCTTTCTTTTTTTTGGGGGGGG